TGAATCTTCCTTCTAGGGTCACGGTGCTCACAGGAAAATGAGTCCAGCAAAAAGCCACTTATGATGCAGTTATGTTCTCTTCCATGCTTCAGATCGGAACCGCTGCCCACGAGCTGGGTCATGCCCTTGGATTCTTCCACACGCACTCGCGACATGATCGCGATCGGTTCATCACAGTTGACAAAGAAAATATCAAGGTAAGTTTTGTATTTGCTGGAAAACGCTTGATAATATCACTAACTACTTCAGCCTGACTGGCTAGACCAATTCACACTGGAGACGCCGGCAACCAATAACAATTATGATTTGACATATGACTACGGTAGCCTGATGCACTACGGAGCCACAAGGTGGGACGCTGATGAACGCATAATTCTAGCGTTGAAGGGAATAAATGCGCTTTTCCAGCGCTACCAGAAACAAGCTGCCTACCATGGTGCCAAAGGACGTGCAATATACACAGACCTTGGGATCTCCTTTCATTTCGTTCTACGATCTTCTCATGCTCAACACACACTACAACTGCACTGGTAAGTAGCACTTTGGAGGGTTGTTACGTCGTAATGCTTATGAACAGTAGTGTTTCAGACGCTTGCAAAGGTAAATACACGCGGTGCCAGAATCACGGATTCGCTCATCCTCGTGATTGTTCCAGATGTATCTGTCCTAGCGGATACGGTGGCCAGTTCTGCGAGAAAAAGGTAGCGTTCATTTTGCAAATCGAACTTGCAACTATCTTTGAAAGCTTCATTTAGCCACAAGATTGCGGTCGCGAATTGTATGCGACCAAAGATTGGACACCGCTCGTCGACGACCTAGGCAATCGGGACAGCCGGCGGTTTGCCGCGTGAGGACTTTATGAAATGCCACTACTGGATCAAGGTACGCGACGGCAAGCAAATAATTAAAGTGAACAGACTCGAAGGTTGCATCTAGGCCCCATTCGGTAAAACGGTGCAAGTGAAATTCGTAAACTTCACTGATGGAATTGCCGTCGATGGATGCACGTATGCTGGAGTTGAAATCAAAACACATGAAGACCAACGTCGCACGGGTTACAGGTATGAAGTTACGCCCATATAAGGGTGTAGAGCTTTTGTAAGCATAATCATAGGCAAGAATACTATTTAGATTCTGCTCAAAAGACGACGCAAACACCATACTCAATTCGACCTTGAGCACTGTTCCTATAATAACCTACAACCGAATCTACGCCACTGTCACGAAGTTGGAGTACCGCGCAGTTTAGAGGAGTTCCTCAGTGTTCGAAAAACGCGGTTTTCTCGAAATAAACTGTTCACTTTCATAATTTTTTCCTAACACTACAATAACTATTCCACTGAAGCTCCTTCTCAGTGAACTTGTTTCAACGACTGTCGATCGTTAACCATTCACTTTCATAATTTTTTCCTAACACTACAATAACTATTCCACTGAAGCTCCTTCTCAGTGAACTTGTTTCAACGACTGTCGATCGTTGACCAGTAGTAAAGTACCTGAAGTCAAGGGCAACGGAAGAAAGCGATCAATCAATCCCTCTGTAGGATGCCCACAACATTTGATTTTCAATCGGAACAGTCGCTTTATTTGGATGTTGCTTGTCCTGTGAAGCAACTTGGAAAGCGGGACAGCATGGGTTACTCTACGATTTCAGAGAATACATTTTTCATCTCGCAGATCGCCTGCAAATAATCTCGTGGTATTTAAAGAAAATCATTGCGGTGGGAGTGTTGGGACCACGCACACAGGGTACAGCATGGGGATGTGCGAAATGGCGGTGTGAGTACGACCCCCCCTCGAAGAGGGTCCAGTTACGACCCCCCCCCTCCTGCTCTAACTGACAACCAGATGCATGTTCACACAAATGGCTTCCTGAAATGGAATCTGGAGGCGGACTCTGCTCTAAAATCCAGGCAATAAGAGGCTGTTTCAGCCTCATGCAATATGAGGCTGAACAACAGCCTCGCATTACCTACAATTTTGTCTTAGGATTCAAAATAAAACTCGTCGTTCGACAACCATGTATGACATGCAACTTGTAACAAGGAACACAATCGAAACAGCGACTAATGGTGATCATTGATAAGCTAAATTGGTGAAAAAATAGCCCCAAGGTCAGCGTGTCAGGCCCCAGATGTGCATTCAATGAATGGTGACGGGGAAATCATGAAAACATGCACGACACAACAAAGCGAAACATGAAAAATACAAAAAATGCGGAGCTAAATGAAAAAATGGATAACCAGGTGCTCATAAGGTCCCGCTGTTTGATATCGTCGCAATCGGATGGTATCACGAGGCATGGAATGAGCCAACCCTCCGGGTTTTCACCATTGCTTATTTTCTTCTAAAATCGTAAATTAATAGCCGATCCTTACTGGGTAGAAGATATAGTCGGAAGTTGTTCATTCCGATCGTGACACCCCCCCCTGGCTCATTACGGCAGTATCGACTTTATGAAACGTACCTACTGTAGTGCCGCAGCCATTATTGAAGGCTTACTCTGCGCTCGCCGTATTGGTGGAATGGAATCACGCGGAGAGGTGCTTCTTTTCAATAGTAACCTGCCTGACAAAATGACAATTAGGATGAGCTCAATGATGAGAGAAGAGCAACTGCCCAAGTAGCGCTGTCGACCAGGGCGGAGTGTCCTTTAGCGTTCCTCTACAACTCTACACACGAAGAGAGGCTGTAGAGAGGCCATTCATTCGGCTAAACATCAGCTCTTTCAGTTTACAAACGAATGGATTATCCATCCCAACAATTTCGATTGGATGAGGGACTGTGTGAATCGTACATCGGCTTCTTGCTATTTACCTCAGTTTTGTTGTTCAAAGTAAGTTCCTCGTTCCTGCTAACCGCGAGCACAATCAAACAGTAGCACGCACGAAATGGATTAAACTTTTCTTCGTAATCGTTTACCATCCGTCTCAAAGTCATATGCTGAGTTCTAGCACTTGATCTTCTGGCCTCCGTGTCTCAATCATCGTAGTCGCAGCTTTCGCGCCTTCGGATGGACAAGGGCGGTTTGCAGTACAGCTCTCACGTTGTCGTTTCTTCCCCTGCTCAACAGCTGCAAGTCTATCTTAATGTCGTAACTTGCGCACAACCGTCCCGGCGGATTATTAGCGCGCTGGTAGGGAACCGCTCTCTGGTTTCGATTGCTGCCGGTTCTTCTATGAAATGCATGAAGCACGAGAATCCGCACCTAGAGTAACTTATTTTCGTAAATCAATGTCAGTCGTGATACTGCGCTCGTATCAAGCGCTTGTGCAACTGATACACCGAGCGCCGCCATTCCACAGCCCTTACCTGATGTCCCTCGGTCTTCCTGTGTAACTTCTGA